CAGGATGGTCTTGATCTCCTGACCTCGTGATCCACCCACCTCGGCCTCCCAAAGTGCTGGGATTACAGGCATGAGCTACCGTGCTTGGCCCATCCATTGATTTTTCAACATTTTATTGCAAAACTTTTCAAACAGGCCTGGCATGGTGGCTCCACACCTGCAATCCCAGCACTTTGGGAGGCCAAGGCGGGTGGATCACTTGAGATCAGGAGTTCCAGACCAGCCTGGCCAACATAGTGAAAACCTGACTCTACCAAAAATACAAAAAAATTAGCCAGGCGTGGTGGTGCACACCTGTAATCCCAGCTACTCGGGGGGCTGAGGCAGGTGAATCGCTTGAACCCAGGTGGTTGAGGTTGTAGGGAGCCGAGATCTCGCCACTGCACTCCAGCCTGGGTGACAGAGCAAGACTCCGTCTCTAAATAAATAAATAAATTGGCTGGTCGCTATGGCTCACGCCTGTAATCCCAACACTTTGGAAGCCAAGGCAGGTGGATCACCTGAGGTCAGGAGTTCAAGACTATCCTGGCCAACATGGCGAACCCCATCTCTACTAAAAATACAAAAATTAGCCAGGTGTGGTGGCACACGCCTGTAGTCCCAGCTACTCCGGAGGCTGAAGCACAAGAATCGCTTGAACCCAAGGGGGCAGAGGTTGCAGTAAGCCGAGATCAAGGCACTACACTCTAGCCTGGGCGACACAGCAAGTCTACCGTATCAAAATAAAAAACTTTCAAACATACGAAAAAAGTTGAAAGGATTGTATAGAAATACAATGCTGGTCACTAAAATGAAGTTTTAATTCACTAGGCAAGCCAACGAGAGCCCATCTATGGGCTGAATTTAGCCCATAGATGGGTGGGCCCCACTTTGCAACTTCTGATTTGGAGGTTGCAATGGTTAAAGGCTGCAAAATCCAGGGGATGAGCTCTGGGTCTGAGGGCTGAGACCAGAGGGGAGCCCCTGAAGCATTGTACCAAGGAACCTGTGCTACCTTCCCTCGAGTTAGACAGAGTCCTCTCTCTAAGATAGGCCACAGTTGTTACCACCCACCCCTCTCAGAGAACTCTGTGCCCCTCCTGCCATAGCCCACTGCTCCAAGGAGGAGGGACATCTGAACCTGCCGTAGGGCCAAGCCAGTGGCTCCCGCCTGTAATCCCAGCACTTTGGGAGGCTGAGGCAGGAGGATTCCTTGAGCCCAGGAGGTCAAGACTGCAGTGAGCCATGTTTGCACCACTGCACTCAAACCTGGGTGACAGGGTAAGACCCTGTCTCAAAAATAAATAAATAAATAAATAAATAAATTCAAGATTAAACTCCTCAGGCACCTCCCAAGCAAATCCCTTCCCCCAAACATAGGTGTTATGGACTAAATGTTTGTGTCTCCCCAAAATTCATATGCTGAAGCCTAACTCCTAGTGTGGCTGTGTTTGGAGATAGGCCTCTAAGGAAGTAATTCAGGTTAAATGAGGCCATAAGGGTAGGGCTCTGATTTGATAGGATTAGTGTCCTTTTTTTTCGTTTTTTCACTTTTTTTTTTTTTGAGCTAGGGTCTTGCTCTGTTGCCCAGGCTGGAGTACAGTTGCACAATCAAGGCTCACTGCAGCCTCAACCTCCTGGGCTCAAGCGATCCTCCCACCACAGCCTCCCAAGTAACTGGGACTACAGGCATCTGCCAGCACACCCAGCTAATTTTTGTATTTTTTGTAGAGACAGGGTCTCACTATGTTGCCCAGGCTGGTCTTGAAGCAATCCTCCCACCTCAGCTTCCCAGTGCGCTGGGATTACAGGAGTTAGCCACCAAGCCTGGCCCTTCTGTTTTTTAGATGTGGGATCTCACTATGTTGCCCAGGCTGGAGTCAAACTCCTAGGCTCAATCAAGTCTTCCATGTGAGTCTCCCAAGTAGCTGAGATTACAGTCTTGCACCTCCTGCCCAGCTTCCAGGATTGATGCACTTATAAGAAGAGATATTAGAAAGCTTGTTCTTTCTCTCTGCACCAAGGAGCACATATGAAGACAGAGCCAGAAGGTGGCTATTTACAAGCCAGGAAGAGAGCCCTCACCAGAAACCAACTGTGCTAGCATCCTGATCTCAAACTTGCAGCCTCCAGAACCATGAGAAAATAAATTTTAGTCGTTTAAGCCACCCAGTCTATGGCATTTTGTTTTGTTTGTGGAATTAGGCCAGTGGCTCTTGCCTGTAATCCCAGCGCTTTGAGAGGTTGAGGCAAGAGGATTGTTTGAGCCCAGGAGGTCAAGGCTGCAGTGACTAATATGATGGGCAGTGGAGAAAGTAGGAAGGTCTAAGGTGTGGAAATGTCAGAGGCGTTTGAACCAGAGCAACTCCATCTTGAATAGGAGCTGGGTAAAATGAGGCTGATACCTACTGGGCTGCAGATGGTTAAGGTATTCTAAGTCATAGGATGAGACAGGAGGTCAGCACAAGACACAGGTCATAAATACCGTGCTGATAAAATAGGTTGCAGTAAAGAGGCCAGCTAAAACCCACCAAAACCAAGATGGTGATGAGAGTGACCTCTGGTCGTCCTCGCTGCTACACTCCCATCTGTAAACTGATGCCATGGCAATGTCAGGAAGTTACCCTATATGATCTAAAAAGGGGAGGCATGAATAATCCAACCCTTGTTTAGCATATCATCAAGAAATAATCAGAAAAATGGGCAACCAGTAGCCCTTAGGGCTGCTCTGTCTACGGAGTAGCCATTCTTTTATTCCTTTACTTTCTTAATAAACTTGTTTTCACTTTACTCTGTGGACTCGCCCTGAATTATTTCTTTTTTTTTTTTTTTTTTTTGAGGCGGAGTCTCGCTCTGTCGCCCAGGCTGGAGCGCAGTGGCCAGATCTCAGCTCACTGCAAGCGCTCTGCCTCCCGGGTTCCCGCCATTCTCCTGCCTCAGCCTCCCGAGTAGCTGGGACTACAGGCGCCCGCCACCTCGCCCGGCTAGTTTTTTGTATTTTTTTAGTAGAGACGGGGTTTCACCGTGTTAGGATGGTCTCGATCTCCCGGCCTCTTGATCCGCCCGTCTCGGCCTCCCAAAGTGCTGGGATTACAGGCTTGAGCCACCGCGCCCGGCCCCTAAATTATTTCTTGTGCAAGATCCAAGAACCCTCTAGTGGGATATGGATCCAGACCCATTTCCTGTAACAGAGGGAGTTGGGGCTTGGTGGTTCCCAAAGAAGGTGTAACTTTCAGTGTCTCCTCTTCACCTACTATCCACAGCAGATTTCTCTGGCACGCACCCTCAGTGCCACGGGTAGGAGCAGAAGTCCTTGGGTGACCTAATCAACACCTTTTCAACAGTGTTCAGTTTGAATATGTATTAGAAAACTATAAATAGTGAGCACACGATTAAATGGACATTATTCCTTTTCCTTTCCATTTAAGATTTTTAAAAGTGAATTAATTAAAAGGAAATGTTAAATAGATGGCAAAACTGATGGAGTTTTCCTAATGGCTGGAGTTAGGGAAGCACTGGACTCCGTGGTCAACTCAGCTTCCTTACATCCAGGTCACCTAAGGTGCCCTTCCTGCCCCTGCGGTTATGTCCACGGCTCCACCTCCACTTCCCAGTGAACTCTCCGGCAGAAAAAAAAGGAAAGAAAAAGGCTGGTTCTCAAGCACATGTTGTGCTCTCCCATTTCCTAAGATTTTGCACATGCCAGTCCTTCTACCTGGAGTGTCCCCTCGGTCTCTGCTTCCACCCTCACCTACTCGAATGCCACCTGCTCTGGAGATATTTCTGTGATGCCACCCGGCAGGCCCTTCCTCTAAGTTCCAATGAACCCTGTCCCGTTCTCCCTTGTGGCCACTGACTTACTGCAATGTAAGGAAGATGTTGCTTCACTGTCTCAGAGAATAAGGCCTCCTTGAGTACAGAGGCCATGGCCTGTTCATTTCTTTAACCTCAGGGTTCAGTACAAAGCATGAGATGGAGGAGGGAGTCAGAACATGGTTTTTGTGTGGTTTCTTGGGTTTTGTTTTTGTTTTTGTTTGAGACAGAGACTTGCCCTGTCACCCAGGCTGGAGTGCAATGGCACGATCTCGGCTCATTGCAACTTCTGTTTGAACGATTCTCCTGCCTCAGCCTCCCGAATAGCTGGGATTACAGGTGCCCACCACCACGCCCAGATAATTTTTGTATTTTTAGTAGAGACAGGGGTTTCACCATGTTCGATCACGAGGTCGAACTCTTGACCTCGTGATCAGCCTGCCTCGGCCTCTCAAAGTGCTGGGATTACAGGCGTGAGCCACCGCGCCGGGCCAGAACATGTTTGTTGGATGGATGGATGAATGAATGAATGAATGAATGAATGAATGAATGAATGAATGACTGTCCTGGAGATTAAGATCTACAAAGCTGGGAGCATGAAGGTACACAAGGCCAGAGAAGTCTGAGTTTGGGGAAGGAGCCTGGGAGAAAGGGTTAGTGAGTGGAGGAGGGTCTGAGGTCTAAGTTTATGGCGAATGAGATTTGAGGGGAGGGGTCTGAGTGGTGGAGTGGAAAGGTATGGGGGCCCTGGAGTGGGACAGGAAGCTCTTTATGACTATTCATTTAATCCACACAACCCAATGAGATTGTCATTTTCCCCATTTTACGGATGGGGAAACTGAGGCATACTGAGGTGAGAAACTTGCCTGGGGGAAATCGCTAGTGGGGGTGGTACTGAGATTCGAACCCAGGCGGTTGGCTCCAGTCTGTGCTCTTGACCAATTTGGTCCGGGGCCCGGCACACAAGTAATCCCTGTTTGCCCTACGGCCATTATCACTAACTGAGGCAGCGGCGCGGGGCCTTGGGGGTGAGGGCAAAGGGGTCCTTGAGGTCGCCCTTGGACCTGAGGACAAGCCAAGCCTCAGGAAGAACGGTGCGCGGCGGCATAGATGAAGGGCCCGTTGCCATGGGAACAAACGCAGGCCTCGGGCGGGCGCATGCGCACATCGGGGAGAGGGTGTTGAACCGGTGAAAGGTGACGTAAAAGCGCACGGGGTGGGGCGCGGGGCTCGGGACGTCAAAGCCCTGCGTCCTTCGGCCCCCGGAGCAGAGAAGCGCGCACGGCAGCGGTGACAGCGGCCACGGCAGCGGCGACAGCAACCCCTGCTGGGCCGAAACTGGGCAGAGCGGAGCAGACGTCTGAAGCAGCGCTAGTGAGGCGCGAGGGTGGCGCCCGCGCCCGGGAAGACACCCTCGGCGCGAACCGGCGGCCCAGCCCCGGGTCCGGGTTCCCGAGGCCCCGCCTCTAGGGCCTGGGGACTAATCGGATTGAAAGCGCGCCGGCCCGGGCCGCGAACTCGCCAATTGCGGAGGGCGGTGGCCACCGCCCAATCCGGAGCAGACAGGTGCGAGGTCCGGAAGGCGGAGGCCAATCGGCGGCGGTTGCGACCTGCTGGGGCAGGTCTCGGCCAATAAGGAGGCTCGAGTGACATCTTCGCCCACCAATCGGGAGTGAGGGAGCATTCGTGCCCGCTCGCCCTTCCGGCCAGACCTCTATTTACCAGGGGCGTGCAGCCCGCTTGCCAATCAGAGCGCGGCTGAGCGGCCCGGCAGCCAACCCCCGAGGAGCGGCCGGCTGGCGTCCGCCGCGCCCAGGAGTTGGGGATGTCCTACAAACCCATCGCCCCTGCCCCCAGCAGCACCCCTGGCTCCAGCACCCCTGGGCCGGGCACCCCGGTCCCTACAGGTGAGGATCCAGCTCCACCCCTGCTCGCCTGCCGGGCGGTCGAGGTCTCGAAGAGAAGACGGCCTGAGTTCTGCAATACTGGGCTTGCCGCCTACCCTCGCTGAGCCTCAGTTTGCTGGCCTGTGAAGTGGGCGTGGTCACGTAAGGGCTTGTAGGTGGAGCGCAGTGGGAGGGATTTGTCCCTGAAGTTGATCAGCCTGGAATGAAGCATCCTTTGGAGGGAATCGGGCGAACCCGGTCCTGGGCTTGGAAAAGCTGGGAGGCGGCGTCCCTGCCCCGCGCTGACCTCTTACTCGCGCCTGTTGCTGCAGGAAGCGTCCCGTCGCCGTCGGGCTCAGTGCCAGGAGCCGCCGCTCCTTTTAGACCGCTGTTTAACGACTTTGGACCGCCTTCCATGGGCTACGTGCAGGTGAGTGGGGCCAAAGGCTTCCTTATGGATGGGGACTGGAGTCCCCCTCCCCGCCAGGTGCCTGAGCTCACTGCCCTGTTCTCTTTTGACATAGGCGATGAAGCCACCCGGCGCCCAGGGCTCCCAGAGCACCTACACGGACCTGCTGTCAGTCATAGAGGAGATGGGCAAAGAGATCCGGCCCACATATGCTGGCAGCAAGAGCGCCATGGAGCGCCTGAAGAGAGGTAAGTGAGGCCAGGCCGCCCTGCTTAGGAAACCGACACTGGACTATCTTCCATTAGGGAAAGAAAGACATCCGGAGGCCACCTGAGCCAAGCCTAGAGGAGGGCCAGTATTACTACCCAGAGAGGTGTTTTGAATCGAATTGAAATTGCGTCCATTTCCAGGGAAGAGCCTGGGAATTTGTACTTCTACAGGGCAACCTTGAGGATTAACCAAACCTCTAATCTCATCTAGCCGTCATTAGTTTGGAATTTCTCTTGCTGAAAGGGGAAAGGGAGTGGGGAGGCAGGGGTCCTCCTCTGGAGGGCAGTGGGTGGGGCTGTGGAGGGTTGCTGAGACCCCACCCCACCACCAGGTATCATCCATGCTCGGGCCCTAGTCAGAGAGTGCCTGGCAGAGACAGAGCGGAACGCCCGCACGTAACAGGAAGCGCCCCGGCCTCAGCGTCTGGACCTTTCCCGGCCACTGCAGAGCACCCGCTTCTCCCTGGCCTTCATCCCGAGTTGCACTAACCATCCTGGGCTTCCTGTCCTGTGTCCCTTGGTGGGTCCCCTCCAGGAACCAAGGAGCGGCTCTCACTCCAGGTGGCAGCACTAAGGACATCCCCCCACAACAAGAGTTAGCAGCGAGGTCCCCATGAGTCCCACCCATGACCTGCCAACAGTGTTGCCCACCGGAACTTTCTGTGGTCCCCACCGCTCAGCCCTTCCCAGCCCTTCTCCCACTTTGTCCCGAGCCTCCTTCTCCCCCAGCAGGGGCTCAGGCCTGGCACCTCACTGCCTTGTGTCCTGAGCCATAGTGACTCTTTTATCTGTGTGTCTTTTGCTAAATATGCCCTTTTTATATTAATAAAAGATGATTTGGAGTTGTGCTCTCAGCTCTGAGCCTTTCTGGGTCTGGTTCTTCAGCTAAGCCTGGGTGGGCCAGGCAGAGAAAGGGGAAGAGGAGACTAGGAGTGGGGAGGGTGTGACTAAACAGGGTTTGACTTGCCTCTGTGGGCCATCAGCCTCAGGTGGGAACCGGGCCCTCTCCGCCCCAGCCGTGGCGCTGAGAGCCCTGGGCCTTCCTGTGGTGCCACCAGGGGGCAGCACAGGGCCTGGCTGCTTCCACAGCCCTTGGCGCTATGGGCAGCCTGGGCCTGGAGGGCGCTTCCTCTGGATTGGCGGTGATGCCTGGCAGCATGGAAATGCCAGTTCACGTAAGCCACTCCCTCAAACGCCCTAATGCCCTGACAACACCCCAGCCTCTGAATCAGCCCTGAAGGTCTCTGACTCCTCAGAGAGAACGGGCACTGCTGCTTCCAGCCCTTGGCCTCACAGTCAAGGGGAGGGGCTGGCCGGGTGCTGCTGTCACTACCCCAGCACCTTGTAGCAGGCTGGGTGGGATCCCATGAGCCCAGCCTTGCGGTGCCTCATGAGGCCTTTGCCCAGACTCCGGGTGGCTGGGTGACCAGACTTGTGGACCCGGAAGGCAGAGGTGGGGGAGGCTTTGTGGCCCCATGCAGGGACTAGCCCAGCCACTCAGAGTGACAACCCGCTTCTGCCTGGGCGTGTAGCTGGGTGACCATAGAGGCCTGGGGCCCTGGAGCCCAGCCCTAGGTGGAGGCACGTCAGAGCCGCCAGCTTCTGGCTAGACTGGTGGGGAGGCATTTCCTCTACCCTGGGTCCCAAATCTAAGGACTGGGTGAGAAGAGGAGAGTGGGCCTGGGACCTCCTTTATCAAACTCCACCTTGTCACTGTACACAGGAGGGCTGGGCTAGGGTGGAGATAGGAACTAAGAGTCTTTGGGGACCCCAGTCAGCACTGAGGGACTAAGAAGTGCCAGAATTTAGGCAATGGCCTCTTTCCCACTGCCCGGGGGAAGGAAGGCAGGGGCCTGCCTCCCCGCCTCCTCCGCTGCAGGCGGGGCTGCCCGGACCCCGCCGGGGTGGGGAGGGCCAGCCGGGCCCAGGAAAGGGGCGGGGCGGCCGCAGTGACGCGGCGGGCTGCGGGGAGGGACGGCAGGGGCGCCGGCGGGCGGATCGAGAGGAAGGTCGGGGCCATGGGCCGGCACTGCGCCTCGGGAGGGTCCGGCCACGGCTGGAACCCAAGGCCGGGGCTGGGGGCGCTCCGGGCTCCGACCCACGGGCCGGCCGGCCCTGCCCGGGCTGGGTGAGGGGCGCCCGCCTCAAGCTAGAGGTGAGCCGGGACGTCGGCAGGCGGGCCGAGAGCGCGGCAGGGGACCGGGACGCCGGCGAGCAGAGGGAAGTGGGGACAACGGGGCCTCTCGCTTGCTCGCGGGGTGCGAGTGGGGGATGGAGGGGTGCCTGCAGCGGAACCTCGGTGCCAGTCTGGGGCGCAGGTGGGCGGAGCGGGTCTCCAGGGCCAGGGCCCGTGGGATACCAAGTGGAGCCACTCTGGCCTCAGCCTGAGGAGGGCTCACCCCCCCAGAAGAGGACGGGGTGGCTGCCTAGGCGCGTGGAGAGCCAGCGAGGGCCGGGGGTCCAGGAAGGATGCTGGGAGGGGGAGGTCGAGGACCCGGCTGCCCTGCATGGTGAAGAAGGCAGATCTGGAGGGCGGAGGGGATTCCTAGTCCCCGAAGGTAGGTTCTGGTGCAGGGCATGGGGAACCCTGGCAGAGATGCTGGGCGCACGGGGCCACTCGGCGCAGAGACACTCGGGGAACAAAGCTCTAGGTGGACGTCTGAGAGTGGGGGACCTGGGACCCCGCTGACTCCGGGAAAGGGATGCAGGGGGCGGGTCCCCAAGGGGCCGGTCGCGGAAGGCGGGCCCGGAAGGAGGGGCCCCGGGGCTTCGGAGGGCGCGCCCCCGAGAGATGCCGTTTCCCGGGGTTAGGACGCGGTCGCAGCGGGAGAGGCAAGGTGGCCCTCCCGCCCGCCGGCCGGAGCCTGGCGCTCCGGGGGGCCCGCGTCAGCACGCGGTTGCCATGGCGACGGGCGGGCGGGGGGCGGGGGCTGCGCGGAAAAGAGGTCAGCGCTCAGCCTAGCTGCTGTTCCGGGCCCCGGCAGCGCGGGCGGCGGCGCTGGGCTCGCCTCTGCTTCCCCCGCGGTGGGCCCGGGCATGGGGTCCCGTGGCCTGAGCACCTCGGCCGGCGCGCAGGGCTCGGGGCCGCGCGCAGCCTCCCCGCACTGACTGCCGCGCCGTGCCCTGCGCCAGGAGGAGCGGAGGCCGCGCGCGGCCCGCCAGGCGCCTTCAGGATGCTCATCAAGGAATACCACATTCTGCTGCCCATGAGCCTGGACGAGTACCAGGTGGCCCAGCTCTACATGATCCAGGTGAGGGCGGCAAGGAGAGGGCACCCGGGCAAGGGGTGGAGCCCCGCCAACCCCGCCAGCCCTGCCACGGGGCTGAGACCGGCTGGGAGCCCGGAGGAGGCAAGAGAGGCCCCCTTCGGATGTGGGGATGGGGAAGGGCTGTGGGGAGAGGGGCAGGAGAGCCGAGTGGTGCTTCTCACCCGCTAAGTGCCCAGCCCTTCTCTGATCTCCTGTAATCCTCCTCAGGATCTGTAATCCCATCGGGGAAGGAAAAAGCGCCCAGGAGGCGGCAAGAATGAGGAGGGGGGCCTCCGCGGCCGAGGAGGGCGGGAGGGGGTCTGGAGAGGTGCAGAGTCTTGGCCACCCCTGGAGCTCAGGGAGATGGGGTGAGGACCAGGCGCCAAACCTGGAGCAGGGACAGGGCAGCATGGATCGGAGGGCGAGGGGGCTCTCGGGTAGGGCAGTGAGAAGAGTTGGCCAGGGCAGGCCCTCAGCAGTGGCCGGGTTGGTGCAGGGCCCCGGGGAGTCTGCTCCAGATCTCTCCCCAGCACAGCAGGACCAGAGTCTCATAAAGCAAGAGGGCCTGGACCCTGCCTCGGGGTTGAAAGGGCCATCTGAGCCCCAGAGCGATAGAAGGCAGGATCTGGGGGCTCTCAAGCTGTGAGGGGTGTGGCAGGAGCTGGGATTGGGAGGTGGCCTGGGCCTCCCAGAGAGGGAGGGGGCCAGGGTCCCCTTTTCCTCTCTTTGTCCCTTCTTCCTTGCCAGCCACCCTGGCCTCCTTGCCACCCGCCAGCACATCCAGTACGCTCCCACCTCAGGGCTGCACTGGCTTCCCCCTGCCTTGAGCACCTCCTCCCACCTCACCTCCTTAAAGTCATGTTCAAGCCATGGTCACTTTATGTTCTTAGCAAGGCCTTCCCTGACTATCAGATCAAAACTGCTGCCCCCAACCCTGATCACCTGTACCCTACTGTAGGCTTTCTTTTCCCATAACACTTAGCGCCTTCTAACACACCATATAATTTGCTTTTTCCTTTTGTCTGTCTTCTTCCACTAGAATGTAAGCTCCATGAGGACAGGGGTCTTTGTTCTATTCATCAATATATCTCAATTGATAGAATCCCAAACACTGCCTGGGGTGGAGCAGACACTCAATGAATACTTGAATGACTGAATTGAGTGCTGGGTTGCAGACCCCATGCAGGGCTGGGCTGCATCTGATTCCGATCCCAGGGAGCTTCGGTGGGGCAGTGTCTGGTTTCAGGGAGTTGAAAAGACTGGGACCAGGGCCCCAGAACTGCGCAGAACACCAGCCTAAGCTGGGGATCCCCGATGCTAAGCTGGGGCTGAGCTCCCTATTCTGCTCTCCCTTGGGCCACAGAAAAAGAGCCGGGAGGAGTCTAGTGGTGAGGGCAGCGGCGTGGAGATCCTGGCCAACCGGCCCTACACAGATGGGCCCGGGGGCAGCGGGCAGTACACACACAAGGTGTACCACGTGGGCTCCCACATCCCAGGCTGGTTCCGGGCACTGCTGCCCAAGGCTGCCCTGCAGGTAGAAGAGGAATCCTGGAATGCCTACCCCTACACCCGAACCCGGTGAGTGGGTGAAGTGGGCATGGTCCGGGGCCAGGAGGGAAGCAGCCCTGGTGGGTACGGCAGTGAGCCTCACCCATGCCTTCTGCCCAGGTACACCTGCCCTTTCGTGGAGAAATTCTCCATTGAAATTGAGACCTATTACTTGCCTGATGGGGGGCAGCAGCCAAACGTCTTCAACCTGAGTGGGGCCGAGAGGAGACAGCGCATCCTGGGTGAGGCCTGGAGCTATGGAGGGACCCTGGCGCCCCTCTCAGTCTCCTGGCTGCCTCAGTGGGCAGCCTCTGAGAAGTCCCAGCCCTCTCCAAGCCTCATGTCCTATCTGCAAAAGGACAGGAACTGTCACCCAGTCCCAAGAGGGTGCCAGGAGCGGGGGCTCAAAGGGGCTGGCACTGCTCAATGCTTGCTGAACTCCCTCAGACACCATTGACATCGTGCGGGATGCAGTGGCTCCAGGCGAGTACAAAGCAGAAGAGGACCCCCGGCTGTACCGCTCGGTCAAGACGGGCCGAGGGCCACTGGCTGATGACTGGGCGCGGACGGCAGCGCAAACGGGGCCCCTTATGTGTGCCTATAAGCTGTGCAAGGTTGAGTTCCGCTACTGGGGCATGCAAGCCAAGATCGAGCAGTTCATCCACGATGTAGGTGAGCACCCAGCCGCGGGAGGTCCTGCTTACCCAGCATGCCCATGTTTAGGGCCAGGGATGCTCCCATCCACTGGGGACACAGAAGCAGAAAGCCATCATTTCCAGTTGAGGCGGGGAGCACTAGGGCAGAGGTGGCCGCACAGCCTAGCCAGGCATCCACAGAGCAGGAAGCTGGTAATATGAGCTACAAGGTCCATGCTGACTCTGACTTTCAGAAATGCTGCTGCTTCCATTAAGATTCTAAGATTCTCCATCATCCTATGAGCTGGGTGAGACTTAGAGATGCTCAGGAAGGTCACCTGCTCTAACTGGCAGCATGCTAAGGAGTGCAGGCTGAGGCTGTGACTCTGATGTCATTCTCTCTGGGATTCCCCCCCTCCACTC